TATAATTGTTTAACTTAAAAATTCATTTTTTGTAAAGATTGTATTAATTTGTATTTAAAAAATGTTGACACACAGTTAAACTTTGAGTTGAAAAATGAAAAACGTATATATCCATTCTCTTGGCCTTTTTACTTCAATTTCCGGTGACGTCACGACCCTAGGACCTGCTTTTCAAAATGTCGCCGAGTAAACATCGGTAACTTAAATGAGATGAAAACAATCAAAAAGGCATATTTTTTTTATTGAACAATTTACTGCAAAGAAAAGAACATGTTTAATTGAGGTATGACTTACGAAATGAAACAGCACTTCAAATTTATTTACAAACAGTCACGATCAAGTTAGGGTAACGACTCATGGATATAGAAAAAATCTTTAAAAATCTTCTCAAGAACTATTCAAGAACTATTTGACCAGGAAAGTTGAAACTTATGTGGAAGCATACTGGGGTAATGTAGATTTTAAATTGTCCAAATTATGACCAATGGGGTACAATAGGGTCAGAATAGGTATTACAAGGGGGAAATCTGGTTAAGAAAAACATGGTAAAGCTTCTCAGGTGAGCGATGTGGCCCATGGGCCTCTTGTTTGAATACATACAGATTCTTTTTTATATTTCTATCTTTTCACTTGCAGTTTTTCCTCAGCTGTACATGCATATGCTAGCTCAGCGAAAGAAGGTCCTAGGAAACATAGATAAACCGAAATCCCAGTAAATGTGGTGGTGTGTATGAGGACTAGGAATACATGTGTCTCCTGTATGAACAAAAGCAGCAGTACAATCACAAAATAATTTAACTGAGTGTTGTTATTTATAAAACAATCATTTCATTATGTAGTGAAAATCATTGATTACAAATTGTAATCAATGATTTTATTTGTAATTTACAAATAAAATTGAGAAAAATATAATAATGATTATATGAATTATAAAGATGTAGTCTCTATTCATTTACATTACAAATTTTTTATTAAAGATTATTTTTAAATTAAAAAAAATTAGAAAACAAAAATATTGTATTTATTGCCTTTAATCAAGCGTCAATTTCATTGTAAATATTTGTTTTGTCGTTATTTTGAGCAGTAGAACTGGTGTGATCATAGAAATCCATGTCCTTTGGATATTCACCACCATTATGCCTATTCATTGTACTGTACATATCACTGTTCATTATATTCTCAGACTCAGATTTCTGAGGATTACGGACACTGGAGTCGTATAATTCACTCCCAGAGCATTGTTTACTTGTGTTGTACACATCACTGTCCTGAATACTGGGTCCATCAGTACACTGTCCGCTCACATCATACACATTATCAGTGTGGAGGGGGGATGGATTTCCATGCAGATGGTCATAGTCCAGATCTTGTTGGCTTTGACCTCTGATTGGCTGAAGGGGTAGATCATGATCTTCATCAGAAGCATTCTTACTGCTGGCATTTGTATGCTGTTTCGAGCTATTAAGTTTGGCTTTCTTTCTGCAATGATAAACATACATATTTACCTGTTTTGGCAGCAGCCTACATTGTGAATTTTACATCTGGTTAATTAAATGGAACTCCAATTTTTTTTTTACAATTTTAGAGCATTTTGGGAAAAGGGGAGCAAATTCTCTATTAAAATAATTAAAAGATGAAAATGTATCTTGTAAACTGAAAATGTATAACACCTTATTATAAGTTTATTCCTTTATATATTGGAAATACGTAAAGCTCATAGGATATCGTTTTCATATGATCAATGCAAATATTGTGAATATTCATATATTAGGTGGCGTAACACATAACATTTTTATGTGTAAAGATGATATACAAAGAATTTAATATGGTCTGTGGCAAGCTATTTTTTATCCAAGTTTGTGTTTTTTATCCTAAATCTGCCAAGGCCTTGGGGATAAAATGCTACTTGTTGTATAAAAATGATATCCAACCACAAATCATGGGAGCTAGATCTTTACAATAGAGAAAGCAAGCAAGTCATATAAAATGGATTCTGGACATAGGGAGGAGAAGAAAGCGAATGTCATCTATGGTGTATCTTCTATAAATGTTGTCAATTGTATACCTTACCTCTTCATACAAACAACTGCCAACAAAATAACGATAAGAACGACCACCGGGACAGTCACAGCTATGATTAAGGTGACGTTACTGGGTACTATAAAGACATGTTCATGTTAAATAGATTTCCCTATTAAGCAGTTGTAACAAATTCCGTAAAGGTGTCAAAACTTCTACAGACATATTTGGAAAGCTTTTCATTATATGTGCAAATGAAATATTGAGAGTAAGCAACATTCTATTGTACATGTACATCAGTAGTTCGTAACTCACCATCGGAAGATTTATTTATCTCATCTTTGGGAACCTCACTTTCTGTATCATCAAGGTCATTAGAAGAGTCAGAAGAGTCCGCAGTACCTTTGTTATTAAAAGAATTTTTTTTTACAATTAGCTTGGAAATAAATGTAACTGCTTTCAAGCTAAACAATGTACAATAAAGCAATTCAGATGCTTATGATAACATGCTGCTTTCGTAACTCACCACCATCAGATTTGTTTATCTCATCAATGGAAACTACTATTTTTGTGTCACCATGGTCATCAGAAGAATCTGCAGTATCTATATACTTATAAATTACCCGGTAACAAATTTTGCAAATAATCTCCGAAACGGCTGCACAATAGTTCTTACTTAAGCCTGTAGCTTATACACTTGGTATAAGGTGATGTCCTTAAACTATAGATCAGATCCCGGGGCTTATTGGACATTTTTTCACAAATTATATTTATTACAATTATTCATCATGTGTACAGTAGGGAAAAAAAATCGTAAAACCCCAAAATAATCGCTCCACAAAAATACCCTACTTATACATTATAAGAGAGAACCTTTCTCTCCTAAAATGTACAAGTAGGGCATTTTTTGCAATTATTTTGGAGTTTTTACAATTTTTTTCCATTGTACACATGATAAAAAAGTGTAATAAAATTTAATATAATTTATAATATATATTATTTAATTTTTTTTCTAACAAAAATGTGAAGGAAGTAGAGATCTCTGCATTTATACGGAAGGGAGATCAAAATCATTTACACAAGAGCTCATAAAACTAGTATTTTTGAATATATATATATATATATATATATATATATATATATATATATATATATATATATATATATATATATATATATATATATATATATATGCACGCCAAATTCACAAAAATGAGCTAATCATAGTTTCACATTTGATAAACTAGGTTTATCGACTGTAAACTAAAGTTAACAAATAATTCGTTAACTATAATTTTTCATCTGTAAAACTATACTCAACGGTTGTTAACTATAGTTTACGAATGCTAATCTAAGTTAATCTGTCTGTAATAAAATGTTAACAATATATTTTGTTGATAAGCATAGATTCACGTCTGTAAACTAGAATTCATAATCGTGAACTATAGTTAAGAGTTGTATATGGCACGCCAATTTCACAAGAATGAGCTAAACATAGTTTTACAGTCGATAAACTAGGTTTGTCGGTTGTAAACTATAGTTTACGGACTGTAAACTATAGTTAATCTATATTTTACATCTGTAAACCATAGTTAAAATCTATGTTTCACAACCGTAAACTATACTTAACACCAAAAAACAATCATTTGCGATTGCAAAACATAGATTATCTTATAAAAACAGTTTCATGATTTGTAAACTATAGTTTACAAACCGTTAACTATAGATATCGATCTGATAAATAGATACGATTTGTGAAACTATGATTAACAACTCTGAACTATAGTTTACGATTGTAAACTATAGTTTACAAACGTGAATCTATGTTTATCAACAAAATATATTGTTAACGCTTTATTACAGACAGATAAACTTGGATTAGCATTACAGATGAAAACTATAGTTAACGAATTCTTAACTATAGTTAACGGTCTGTAAACTATAGTTTACAATCAATAAACTTAGTTTATCAACGGTGAAATTATGTTTAGCTCATTTTTGTGAATTTGGCGTGCCATAGTTGTAAATCATAGTTTCACAAATCGTGAAACTATATTTATCAGATCATGAACTATAGTTAAGAGTTGTAAACCATAGTTTACAAATCGTGAAATTGTATTTATCAGATAACCTATGTTTTGCAATCGCAAATAATTGTTTTCAGTGCTAAGTATATTTTAAGGTTCTGAAACATAGGTTATCGCGTTAACTATGGTTTACGATATAAAATATAGATTAACGTTGTTACCTATAGTTTACAGTCCGTAAACTATAGTTTACAATCGATAAACCTAGTTTATTGACTGTGAAACTATGTTTAGCTCATTTTTTGTGAATTTGGCGTACCATACATACACGTAACTACTTTTTCAATAACATTGGGACTTGAAATATTTTGTTCCTTGGGAACTTATCATTCTCAAAGTAACTTTGTGAAAATCAATTTGATTCAACACACAATTCTCTGAATTTGATAGTAAACGGGTGTAAGTTTTCCTCTATTTATATGAAGTCTTAGTGTTTGGATGCTAGGTCTTCCAACAACATAAACGAACTGTTGGAATTACGATGGTGAAATTCATAATTGTGTTCCTTTATCAGGCGACCTGTTTTTATATTCATTTGAAGCATATCTCTACATGAGAAAAGAAAAACACTTGTGGCCTTCAACTCGAATTCAATTAATAAGAATTTTTCCAATTTCATTCAAAAGTCAACTTGATGTATTCCAGTGAACTCGAAATTATAGACAACGCAGAGTCTACCAACAAATACATCCTATCACTTGGTCGTATATTTTTTTTAATGACATATTAGATGTAAGTTGTTAGGTATTTTTGTTTAAATTTGACTACGGATTATCCCATCTACACCCATTGAAAAGGGATGCTTACTTCTCGTAGGCACAAGAACCCTGATTGAATTTCCAGGGTTTTTATTTCCTATCATGTTCAAAGATTTCTATTGATTGAAGGTCTTAGGAGATCATTCACTGTTCATTACCCTCACTTTTGTAATTAATCCAGGAGAATTGCTTCGTAAAGGGACACCCCCTTACCGAAATATATGTATAGTGTATACACGGTAAATACGTGTACAAGTACAACAGACGCTCAGTGTGTAGAGTGTTTGTCCGTCCGTCAGTTACGCTTTGAATCACCCATCTATTATCACAGGCACCTGTATTTACATATATATAGATGGGGTAGAATTTTTGATATTTGGCTTATTGAGCGTCTGATTGATAAAATATCAGGTGCCTGTGCTCTTATAATATCCACAACTCCTTTTATACCACTGAAGGAAATTTGATGAGACTTTCGCAGAATCTTGAATTGTTACATTGTGCCTCGTTCTTCTTTTTTTACTTCTTGTGATCCGACACTTATTTTGGGTTTCCCATAGCAAAACATGGACACTGTCTGTGGTGAATGATAGACATTAATAGCAATTCTCTGTAACCACTTAAACTTCGTTGCCACGCATGGTCATTGGTCACCGATTTTGATGAAACTTCACCCATGCTTAGTACTTGACAGCAGAAACAAATATCAAACAAAATTTTGTTGCAAAGTGTCTTGGTTGCTATGGCAACAGCCGGAAAAGTTTGAAAAATCAAGATTTTCAGCCACTTTAAATCTTGACTGTGGCTTAATAAAAACTAAAAAAAGCAAACAAACCATTGATTCTCACAAAAACATGACACCTTGATGTCACTTATACTGTAAAGAAACTGTTTAGAATATATCTCTAAGTAAGTGGTAACCAAGGGTACATTTGGAATACATTTAAAATGCTGAAATATGCTGAAAAACACTCCGTATTCACTAATGGTAGGTGTTACATGCTTAAACTCAATCAACGACTTCAGAAAAACAATGAAAATGTTTGACCTTAAGCATATAAGTATAAGCAATATTATTCTATAAATAACTTTTATGGTTGCCATGGTAACACAGTGTAACCATTAGGACTGGGCAAAAATATCGATATTTCAATATATTGCAATACAAGGACAAAAAATATCGTATTGCAATACGATTTTGTAATATCGATATATTGGCAATATGCTCAGATTAAGGAATTTTATCATTAAATATAAAAATTGACTTATGAAAGGCTTGTTATTAAGCCAAACGGTAAGACAGAAGTTGTTTTGTGGGTGTATTTCAGAGCATAACTGAAATGAAATCAACAAGATTTTTTTCTGTGTTGGTTACTTATCATAGTTATTTACATTCTACATGTAAATTAAAGTAAATGTAGTAGAAAAATGCCATAATTTTAATTACATTTAAAATATTGCAATACATATTGCAATACAGTTAAAAATGTCGCAATATATCGCAATACGAAATCTCGGGCCAATACCCAGCCCTAGTAACCATGTAAAACCAGTAACTAAGATTGGGTTAATGCTACTGTCTTGAGGAAAAACATGAAAATTCAAGACTGGCAAATATGCATTCTTAGGACCTTGCAACACCAAAACCATAAGAAAATTGGGTATAATTGCTACTTTACAGTGTTACCATGGAAACAAAGTACCAGTGCTTAAAAGTGAATTATTTTTCGCTGCATTAAGAATTAAATTGCCATATAATCAAGAAACAAATTAAAGGACTCAGCTTGAATAGTACTTATTTGTTAGAACTGAAGTTGCATATCATATATTAATAAAATTTGATGAAGAAAACAACACTGTTGCTATGGTTACCAAGAAGGAAAAATGTTCGATTTTGTTAACTTTATATCAATATTAAACCCTGTGTGCCAACTTCTTGCATCCACTTAGAGATTGGATGATAGTCAAAATTAAAAGTCAGGTAAGCTGTTAATAGATATCAATCATAAAAGTTTTGGGAATCTACATTTAAGGGTACGTATCCAAGGAAAGAAAATATTTTTCAGGTTTTTAAGCATACATTTTCTGCTTATTTCCATAGCAACGCTCTATTTAAAGAATCTAATCTGAATTTTTTCAAATTGGAAAACTAGGAGCACACCAACATCTTTAAAAATTGATCATAAGTTATGAAGAAATGTGCTTTTTTAAAAGATAGGATCAGATTTAAACATACAGAGTGTTACTTTGAAGGCTCTCTGTGGTATAAAAACCTTGGCAACCATTGGCAACCAAAATGAAATATCATATTTTGTTCTTGTTATATGTTTCAAGGCTCTTTTTTCTATTATTTGGTCGCATTTCATCCTATCATTGCCTTTTATTTTTACGTGTATGACTTTATAAAATTCAATGAATATTTTTTTTACTTTTGAATACTTTGTTACCATAGTAACGTATGTAATAGTTGATTTACCAAACATGTTTATCAGACATTTGAGACATCTGACCTTCAACTTTTGGAAACAGTCATTGCCAATTGTTTGCTTTGCCGCAAATGTTAACTATGGGGCTCTAAACATGTTAAAAAATGCCATTTTTCGAACTTAAAGACATGTTGCCATGGTAACTATCAAACATAGCAACCAATTTTCGCCTGATTTCAGTTTGGGGTATCAATGACATTTATCATAGAGAGTTTGCAGAAATTCTGAGACTATGCGTGCCACAGCTCCTATATAAAATTTCAAGTCATTACAGAGAATGGCTCTTAATACTTTTCTAATTTACCTTGATTTAGCAGGTAATATTCAAGGACACCCTTCTCTTATCCGCAACTCCTCCGATCCGATGCCATTGTGCACCTCCTATTTTACTTTTTTAATCTGACACTTATTTCGGGTCTCCCAGAGCATAACATTGACTACGCCATTAACATTATATGGGAGGCGGGTGTATCATTTAGCAAGTTCAGTGCTCACAGTATCTCAAGTGTAAAATTCTGTTCTGTAAAGTGTGCTGAAATTTTGTGCATTTTTGTTTTGCTTTCTGCAAAACATCAGTTTTGAAAATTTAATGATATATATATAAGTGTCAGATAAACGTCATTCTTACCTAATTCAAGAGGACGTACATAATTCCAAATACGATGTCCAACCCAATATGTAGATCTTAGCCGTCTTACATTGACAGAATTCCTTTCTACAGTTTTGGTGTCCTCAATAAAAGCCAAATGTCCTAAGCAATTGTTGTTATGCTCATCCCACGTCATGTTTGTTTTTTTAATCACTGTTCCATCCGCTGTAACAGATTTAACAGGTCGAGGAAACTACCTCACATGGACATTGTTGCGATTGCGCACAGAGGTGCTCACAGCAAACAATGGTCCAATCCAGTGAATGAGCCGAAAAGCATGATGGTCTACAACATGTTTATTTTTACTACAAACACGTGGGTCAGGGAAATTTAGGACACGATTTCAAATGACTGCAGGAAAGTCAGCTAACAATTTTTTGAAATGTGTATATGAAAAATACGAAGATTAGGTACTAATTAAGATTTCCCATGCTCACATTAACAAACAAAGTCAGTTTTCCGTGTTAAATAGTACTTTGAAATACCGCTCACAAAGTCTTCGCAAGTAAATAAGACTCAAGTTTTTTAACTTGATATTCGTTAATTTGCCATGTAACTGGTTAAATTCGTTGTTGCTCAGTTATTTGTTACTAGAAATTAAAAGTTGCATTTCATAAACAAAAAAAAAAAAAAAACAAAAAACAAAAAACCCCAATCAACAAAAACTTAATTAAGTTGCACTTTTATTTATTATTTACCTGTTATATATAGAAACCCTCATATACATTGATCATAGAACGTGAGTAGCATATATTTTGAAGTTGTATACGTTGTAAACATTGTCAATACGTGAGCACACCTCAGAATTGATTGTTTTTGGACCAAGGAATAGTCACGTGAAATTGACTTTTTACTGACAGCACAGCACAGGGAAAGCTGTCAACAAACGGATTTGTATAATGGACTGAATGGAGCGTAGAAAACCTTAATTTTTAACATTGTAAATCATTTGTATATAAATGTGAGCATGGAATCAGTAGATAATGATGTTCATATTGTATTAAGTGTGTAAAATGCTTGGGAAAATGCATCACGTTTTTCCGAGAGTGGTTTAAAAAATTGGACTTTTAGAAACACACGTGTAGTATTTTTGTAGTAAACCATAATGCAACTCATTGATCTGATTGGTCGATTTGTTAGTCACGTTGGTTCCTCACTTAACATGTAAATTTATTCCGACGTCACAGAAAATAGTTTCCTCGACCTGTTTAAGGATCGTTAAAAGTCTAAGAAAGATAATTTTCATAGATTCCGTTATAAAATTGGCAAGTTTTAATAAGCCATTCCTGTCAATTTTTGCTCCGCAAAAGTATTTTGATTGCAATTCACTAGAATGGCATTTATCTTGGCCATAATTTCGAATGGTTGACTCTTAGACTTTCACATTTTATATGTGTACTCCTTGCTACATGATTTAGACATATAACAATGTTTTTTTCTGTGCTTTATTATGATAAAGTATATGATCAGCAACAACAATAATCCAGAAATTGGTTAGTCCTGCTTCACTGCAGTTCTTTCTCGAAATCATTTCGATTCACTATCTTCTAGGACTTGGAATGATTGCTTTAAATCGTCAGCCATTATTACTAGTTTATATCTGAGGCTGTGTTTTAGGAGATAGATGGAGACGTTTTATCTTTTATCCCGCTTCAGACAAATTTGTCGATTACTGATTGGATAAAAGCCAATCACATGACGCCCTGAAATTTTCCGTATTACGTCTCCATTTTCCATACTACGTCTCCGTCGAGGCGTAATATCAAAATCGGGCACGCGATTCCGTTCGAAGCGTTCTTTTTGTAAATAAAAATGGCGGCTAAGAAACGGTTTACGTAGGTAGTTTAGTTAATTTTCTTGTTACCGTAACGATATTTTATGTTGATTGTTATTGGATTAAAACTGAATATTTTCATAATATGCACAAATTTTCTTTTAATATTGAGAAAGGTCTTCAGCGGGATAAATTCGTAACACAGTCAGTTAGTGACCTAATACGGATTCATACAGGGTGTGAAATGGAAATCCGTATTGGGACTCGGCTTCGCCTCGCCCAATACGGATTTCCATTTCACACCCTGTATGAATCCGTATTAGGTCACTAACTGACTGTGTAACTAATAATATTGTTAACTTAGTTATATCTTGAGGTGAACATTGAGCTACAGTGAGGTTGCCGATATCGAATCACTTAGTATATTTGCTTGGATATTTCGTACCTGAGTTTGAGTTAAATTCATTTTACAACATTGCTTGGTGGGACTATGTTTTACTTATAACATCATATATATTTTCCCAATAACCACTAATTTAATAAAAAATTATCGCTGTACTTGTATGAATGATGTTTTCTCCTTTAGCGGATCATTTTCTCCATTACCGAATCACGTGACATAAAGCTGATTATTCTGGTTCGGGACCGTGTAAATTTAAAAATACCCTTCTTACGTAACGTTTTACTATGCCTTAAAATATTTCACACACACCCCCCAAAAAAAAGTAGAAAAGCTAGGAATTTTTTGAGTTGTTTGCATCCGACAATTAATGCAAAAACAAAAACAATGAACTCATGAAATGACTAGTTGATATAAGATGTCGTAAACGCGTATATGTGATGAACTGCAAACAGCCGAAGAATTAATTTTTTATTCAAGAATTGTACTCATTGAATTTGAGCTACCACGCCCCCTCCCCATAATTTTGCCGCTATTTAGATAGAAAATATATCGCTAGATATATGATTGTGCCCCCTCAAAAAAAAAAGTCCGATGACCTTTTTTATGCTTGATTAATTAATTGTCAAGGAATTTTGGTGGTTGATAGTGCCTCCTCAGCTGAAAATATATGGCTCTGCACCCCTCCCCCACCAACTGAAATTACTTCCTTCGAGTCTGGCTTCAGAGATACCTAAAGCTGAAAGGAACAATTATATTTTCAAAATGTCCAGACCCAACACCTAAATTTCCTCCAATGAGCAGAGACAACTTTACAAATACAGTGTAATGATGTTGGGATTCATTTGCTGAATTTCTCCATTCCAACATCCACAGTAGACTAAATACCAGTATTCCAATTTATTAAATACTGGAGGTTGTCCTTTCACTTTACATGGGTCTACTTCAACTGTCCATCGTCTCTATAAAAATGAATAAGACAACTCATTCTTCTCTGCTGTTTCATAGTGCTCTTTCTTCCTTTTGCTTGAAGACAGTGGCATATATTCCATATAGGCAAAAGGCTGCAGTCTGCCTATCATTTCCTCAATGTGTAATTTAAATCAAATGTTTACTAACTAGTATATGTTGAAAAAGAGGGGGGGGGGTAGTTACTATATGTTGAAAAACGGGGGGGGGGTATCATAAAACTCTGTTTATAATTTATTTAGCTTGATGTTGAATTGAAAAAGTATTGTTAGCAATATGCATTTTATATTACATGAGCTTGATCTTGATCATGACAAGAAATAAAAATTGATTATTTGAAATAATTTTTTAGGGAATAGGAAAACTGCAAACGGTGTATCGTTGGAAATAATGATTTAGTAGGAAGTTTAAATTGCAAAGGGATAAATAAATAAAATTTCTAATTCTTAATTTTGTTTGGTAATCATGACGATTTTTATTTCGCTATCGTCGATGTCTTCACATTAGCTTACATGCACATATACCGCCGGGAGACATTCTCGAATCCACATGCTCTGCACTTCTTACTGAATTTGGCTGCTGATTTTGTTTATGTGTATTTTAACCACCTTTATTGTACGCTTTTGGTAGACATCTTCTGATGTTTTTTTTTTTCTTTTACTGTAACTGGTCAGGTGTGCAAAAAACCGCATACGAAAAATTATAATTTGGACAGGATCCCTGCATCTCATATTTCTTGAAACAGTGATTCGTTATTGGAAACCTAAATACCCCCAACTTTAAAGCGAATACTATTAATTTCTGATTTAGAAATTGTATGACGCTTTCAGTGCTTTTAGACACATAATTTTATTAAACATCTGCACCAAATTTGTTTACCTAGAATGTACGATTCACTTTGGAGCGGTACCGAAAAGTGAAAGTAGTCTACTTGCATGTACGCTTCTGGTCTGCGTCACAAAAAAGCTTGTTCATGTTTATTTAAAAATTATTACATTGAACGAGTTGAATTTAATAATTTCATGATAAATGATAAAAGCAAGAATAATTCAGCATGACAGGGTAGGTTAAGCTAAGTATTGGACTTTGGTAAGAAAAATACAGAATTTTCATCTGAAAGTGATTCGTTAACGGGAGCGATTCGTTATTGGCAACCTCACTGTATAATAAGGCAAAAACGAACAAAGTTACAAATAGCAAGAACATGAACAGAATACATGTATCAAGTTTCAGGAAATCTGTCATTTTTCAAGACAAAGAAACTGACAGATTGAAAAAAAAAAATCGAAACTCTTGGTTATTTTTCCACCATCAAGCTAAGCGTAGGATATAAATTTGATGCGAAGCATGCGGATCACAGATATCATGCCTTTTCTGAGTTAATTAATAGGATTTTTAAATTGTTAAAACTTTTTACTGTTGGTCAGCATTGTGCAGTATGCCATTTTTTTCTCGTTGCAATCACCATAATTCAAATTCCGTCCTGTTTCATGTAGCTGAAAATAGACAAATCCACAGCCTTCACTTTGGTCACTGCGGGCAATATTCTCTGAAAAAAAATATTGTATCGTCAGATTGACATTGTACGTTGTTTTACGTCCCATTCGAGAATTTTTCACTCATACAGAGACGTCACCATATACCGGTGAAGGGCTTCAAACATTGACCTTTACTCGGCACTTAGGGTCATAGAGCAGTGGAGGATCTTTATAAATTAGTAATTACCATGCCAACGCCTGCCATGACACGGGTCCTTGGTTTTTAAGGTCTCATCCAAAGGACCCACAACTTTCACATTAAAGTGCCGAGTGCATGCCGAAGGAACAGTTGTTACCCATTTTTATCGACTTACACTTAGGACACGGGAATCGGTTTATACGGTCTCATCCGAAGGACCGGTCTCCACGTCCCACAGTGGGATTCGAACCAACGATGTAAGGGTCAACTCCTTATCTCGCGATTATGTATAGAGCAGACCGACGCTCTTACCACTGCGCCACGCGGGCGTAGTTTTCTTTTAAGTGTTCAGATTACAGAGGTACTGTTCGGGTTGACAGGAAAAGTTTGAGACTACTGCAAATGACTTTCTTCTTCTTAGTACCACTTGACCAGAATTATAGCACAGCTATTGAAAACGGAGTTGCACAATACCAGGCATACTTCGGAGAGTCAGGCTAAATGTAATGTATATTTGTCCCATCTCCGAATTCACAAAATACATAAGTAAAATGTGACCTTATGTAACCTTTATTTTATATGATTTATGTTAGCTGCAGATCTGTAGCTCTCCGAAAAATATATATTGACAGACCGGGGAGCTACAGTACAACCCACTGAAAATACTGTATATTATTGCGCACAAGAGTGCGCACGGTTCAGGATTTATTCTTCCAAATTCTTACCTCAATTGCAAAAAAGCTAGATTTTAAAAGATCCCTTTCTCCTCTATCAAGCACTTTCGTAGTTTACATCTGTACAAAATGCGTTGGACCGAATTACAGATGTATCTTACAAACCGAAATGGCATTATAAATATGCAAAATTTTCGATGATCTCAATTCCAGGACCAGGATCGTGGGCTATTTACAACAAATATAAGGAACGTTTGATGTGGAAATAGTGAAAGAATTTAAGGAACATACGGTTAGTAATATTTTGAGATGACTGTTTTAAAAAGATGGAGAAATAAATCCAGAAACAACCGCTTTTTGTGTGCAATAAATACAGTGGACCTTCAGATATCCGGACGCTTCAGTTTCTGGACGGTTTTTCATCGGAACGGATTTTTTAAAAGTTATTTTGTCTTATTTAACTGGTAATTCAGGAATCCGGACACTTCACATATCCGGACAAATAGACTAGGAACCAAAGTGTCCGGATAAATGAGGCTCCACTGTATACAGTGTTTACAATGGGTGGCACTGTAGCTCTCCGGTCTGTCAATATATACATTTTCAAAGAGCTACAGATCTGCAGCTAGATTTATGCAGGCCCAATGTTTTCGTTAATGAGGTATACGTAAGTAGTAATTTACGGTCAAACGGACGGATGAATTCAAAATAATTTTATCGGACCTTTGAAACTATGGCCCAATGGCTGTCGTGGGAAAAGTTCTAAAACCGAATAAAATAATGATGATAGTATATGTATGATTCTTTCATGGATCGTTTCAAAAATGAAAATTAATATGTATAATCTTAATATATATTCAGAAGATTTTTTTTACCTATTTCATACACAGCATAAGTGTGATTACCATAACCCCCGCAGCTTTGGTTTGAGTTTCCAGGACAACTCTTGGTGCACTCTTTTGCAGAATCAAATGACGTATGTAGAGTCTCTACAGAACAAACACAATCCGTTCCCTATTTGTAAATAGATACTCTATCACTGCTCTCATTGTATAGAATCTTTGAAGACATAATTAAAATTAATCGCAAGAACAATATCACTGTAGTCCCAAGAAAAAAGAGTTACCCTCAGGAGTAGAGTCTTAACAGTTGATCCTGATTGGTTGAAGAAACAGAATTGATAACAATTGGTGACATTGTTCTCCTTTAAAGAGTCCTTTCTCAAAATAGAGGAACTCTGCGATGAAACACTGTGACAACCTGTTTCAAAACGTTCTGTATGAATCACTTTTTATAGCACATAATGTTTGGAGTCTTGATATATTGATGTCTATTTATCTTTTTTATCCATTAAGAACAATTAATTTTTATTTGATTAACTGTAGAAATACACACAATTAATTTTTATTTGATTAACTGTTGAAATACATACCTCTTGTAATTATTGGTTTGGTTATATGATGAGCCATGCTTCTGTCATTACTTAAAATTCCCAAACAAGTACCTGCAAAGAAAACCTTGCGAATCACATTTCTGTAATTTTTGGATATGGCAATCAATTTAATTAAAGCATCATCTTTTATATTTTGCAGTCGCCCGCGTGGCGCAGTGGTTAGAGCGTCTGCTCTAGAGTCGCGAAGTAAGGAGTCAATCCTTACGTCGCGGGTTCGAATCCCATTGTGGGACGTGAAGACCGGTATGGGCAGCTGAAAGGGCAAAAATTACCATAATGAGAAAACAAACAGTTATTTTAATTTCAATGACCATAAAAACTTAACAGATGATATACAATGCATAATCAACAGACCTTTTCGCAGAACAAATATTTTAACAAAAACCAACGACCACGTACGTAACAAACATATATGAATGCAAAACCAACGATCATCTTTGCAGAACAAACGTACATAAAAACACGTTTTTATATATTAATGAATTTTTTAAACCCAGAAATGTGCCTGAGTAGTGTGAAGAGTTTCTGTGCACCGACAAAAAAGAAATCGTAAAAAAATAAAATCCGGGACCGTCGGGAGCCGGGTGTCGGGAAGACTAGATTTACTGCGTGCACGTTTGTTAAGTTTTTTTTTTTCGTTTGTCGTGTTTTTATGTGCGTTTGTTCTGAAAAGATGATCTTGGTTTTGCATTCATATATGTTTGTTACGTACGCGGTCGTTGGTTTTTCTTTAAGGTATTTTTAGAAAAGTTTACGCAGAAGCTTTTACTTCAAAACTACTTATTAAAATTCGATTTTTATAACATATTTAAATTCAACAATGTAAATTTTTTAACATTCAACGAAAAAACTGCTAAAAAATCTACAAAGAAGCAAGATTTATGAGGGACTATTTCTTTTGGTGGAAGGATATTTAGCAGAAAATTCTGCAAGCCCGCACATTTATAAAATTTAATGTAATGGAAATTTAGCCTCACATAATTTTACTCGAAGAATAATTTCCGCTTTGATAATGCTAAAAATATTTAATATAGGTCTTAATTTATATTTTTAGAACAAGTTTTACACCTTCCCGCAAAAAAGTTTTCCAAAAAATGAAAAATTATTAAAGAAGTCAAGATCAAATTTACACCATTTTGACAAATATTTCAAAATTAACATCACTGACCCCACCTTTTTCTTTCATTATTTTAAACTACTCGATACTTGTGACTGATCAGCACTTAAGTCGTAAAAAGTTTGACATAAGAAAATTTTTTATTGCCTATTAAGTTTTTTAATACCCCAAATATGTTATTTTTTAGTGCAAAAAGGTCACACAATAATTTACGCGCATTAATTTGCAAGATTTGTTTAATGATAAATATTATTCAAACTATTTTACGTAAAATAACATTATATTTCTTGCCATGCTTACATCTGATAAAATATAATAAGGGTTAAAGTAATTAACCAAAGAGATGAAATTTAAGTGCAAAAAGGTCAACTTAAATGTACCATAGATCAGTAGGATGCACACTGACTCCCGATTTTCTTTGCGATTTTGACTTACACTTTATGAGTACTTATCCAAAATATACTTCTCAAAAAATCCTTGATTTAACAAATTTCAGGAGTGACTTACCTTAATGTATATTTATTCTGCGAAAAGGTCTGTTGATTATGCATTGTATATCATCTGTTAAGTTTTTATGGTCATTGAAATTAAAATAATTGTTTGTTTTCTCATTATGGTAATTTTTGCCCTTTCCGCTGCCCATAGTATGACCGGTCCTTGGATGAGACAGTATAAACCGAGGTCTCGCGGTAGGTGCTGGCACGAAAAAGATCCCTCCCTGCTCAATGTCCATGAGTGAAGAGCATAGGACAAAATTTGCAGCTCTCTACCGGCAAGTGGTGGCGTCTCCATTTGAGTGAAAAACTGAGTCGCTCTCGAGAGGGACATTAAACAATATACAATCAATCAATATATTTTGCAATATATTCATTACAAATAACACCTCCTCAATAAAGTTTATAACTTTCTATCATGAATGATCTACTGTCAACCATCTATACGAGTACTAATTATACATGTATTTTCAATAAGAGTGGGTCTTGCAGAGATAACTAGTAAAATTAATTACACACATACACGTCCTGAGATGATCTATCTCACATACACAAGGGATCGACCCGTACAAAAAATAAATGCATAAATTGGCAAAGAACATTTTTTTTTTTAATTTAAGACACTGTTTATTATAATTCATATCCTTTCAAACAAAGATCCATAGGGTGTTCTAGTAAGTGATTTACCAAGCCTCTTTCTTTACCCTCACATTATCAACAGCTAGTAATGAAGGAGAAACTTCAGGAGTGGTGTGCAAAAATATATTTGAGGAGTGGTGTAAATGAGATGTGGATACGTGAATATTTTAAAGAACTTTTGGAAATTTTGAAATCACAAATTTGTACCAAAATCAACAATGTCATTGGTCATTTGCAAAATTATTTATTAAAAAAATTCTGATAGTACACACAAGTAGTCTGAAGTTGATATTAAAAAGATGCTTGAGTCTCTGATTGACAATATTTATGTAATTTTTGAAGACCATGTTTTCAAACAATCCATTGGAATTCCTATGGGTACCAATTTGATCCCAATGTGAGCAGACTTATTTTTGTATTTATATAAAGCAGAATTTTTCCAAAATCTTATACGGGAAAGGAAGAAAACACTTTCTGTGGCCTTCAACCCGACATTTAGATATATCGACGTAATGTCAGTTAACAATGGTTATTTCCATTCTTATGTCGATACGATACTAGTATATCCCGGTGAGCTTGAAATAAAAGATACCAAACACATCTGTTTCATATTTAGTAATATTACTCGGAAAAGACGTTTATGGTAACCAAACAATTAAGCTTTATGACAAACGAGATGACTTTAACATTGCAATCGTCATCTTCCCTTAATATGCAGCAATATACTTTCATCACCTGCATAGGGCGTTTATATCTCTCAGTTGACTCTCTACGCAAGAGCATGCTCTACTTACGAAAAATTTTTAAACGAGGTAAATTATTGACAAACATGTTGATGAAACAAGAATGCCAGAAGTCTCGTTAAAGTCATCATTTTGTAAGTTCTATGGTCGATGCCATAACCTTGTCAACAAATACAATTTATCACTAAATTAAGTCAAATGCTTACTGACGTTTTTCGTAATTATAGTTGGCCATTATATACACACTGAATTATCGACTTATACACACTTAACGTTCAGGCATTCTTAACCACGCATATTCTACCCCAAACAAAGAATTGGGAATTTATTAACTTTAAACAAAGATGAGGTTGTAAAACTGCAGTGATGATCGAAGAAACAAAAAATACACTTACCCAAGTAGAAATAATATAGCAGTTTGAATACCATCGTGTACTGTGTGTTACAAACAAGCCAGGAAGTATTTTTAAAATATAGAGAAGATACGGAAATCACTTTGAGTGGTCCCTGCACTGATCAGATTCTTAGTAAACAGTAAGTATACAGTACTCCCTGCCCACTCTCTTGTCTATATAAGTCACACTCAGAAAGTATTGTAAGATAAGGTTTGAGAATGATGGTACTGTTAAAATGAAAATAAGAATGAATGAATATATAGAGAAAAAAATTGCAAAACTCAGTACCTCGAATTAAATACACATTTTAATGCGTATTTTGTTTTGTACTTTATTTAAAACTCTTTAAATAATTCCATTCTTTTTCTCTTCTTTTGTTAAAATTCATAATTTTGCTCTTCTTTACTCAAAGATTATACAAACCGTAATGTGTAGAAGGAACTGAAAATGTTCGAAAGTTGTTGCAACCCACACGAAGCATAACGATGTTCAAAAACAGAGGCAAAACAAAAGCAGAATTTGTCAAAAATCTTATACGTGAAAAGAGGAAAACACTTGTTGTGGCCTCCAACTCGACATTTAGATTAACAATGGTAACATGTTTTTTTTCCATTCTTTAGATAAAAGATACAATAGAGTCTGACACATCTGTTCCATCTTTGGATATTTCATTTTAAAAAGATATTAGCCTAATGGTATTCTAACAACAATGCTTAATGATAAACGTGATGACTTTAACTTTTCAATCGTCTACCTACCTTACTTATACAGTAATAAACCTCGTCATCTACATACGGGGTTTATATCTCTCGGTTGATTCGATACAAAAGAGCATGTTCTAAGGAAGAACAATTTCTTAAACAAAGCGAGTTATTGACGTTGATGAAACAAGAATATCAGCAACGTAATCATTTTGCAAGTTAATGACCTTGTCAGAAAATACAATTTGTTAGACCATTATTTAAACTGAATTGTCATCGGATTTTTCCATTTCCTGATCATGACTAGGAGTACACGTCGGATGTGACCGGTCAGGAGGGGATGCTCACTCCTCCATGGCACCTGATCCCATCTCTGATTTTTAGAAGTCCGCGTTTGCTCTGCTCCAAAATTTGTAATTCTTCAATAGACTGTTGGGTTTGAATACTGTTCGTTATCTCTATATATTTCACAATAATTCCCAATGACTAAAAGAAGACCACTGTTTATTCTTGGTCAAAATTTTTGGTGAAACATTCATATCTTGGATACAATGGTTTTCTGTTGGTAACTTTGGTTTTCCTTGAGTTTTTGGAAAGAAATTTAACACCTTTGGTCAATATGAAGTAAAATATCCCATTTTTTGTGGTCAAAAGGTCAAAGGGATTTCTGAGATTCACAATTAGTTTTGAACTTCATTTCTCCACCGCTTTAGGTCTATGATTTCTAACATCTCAGTGCCAAATTGCAGGTGCGTTGGAGTAATTTAAATTAATTTTCATGTGATAAACAAGATGTGTTTGTAAAACACTATTCACCCGGCGGCATAAGATTCGAAAAGGTTATATTTAGCATAAAAGGTCAAAAGGTCATTGACCTTGGTGTCATTTGAAAGAGCTTAATTAGATGAGTATGGATACCAAATATGAAGTCTCCATCTCTCAAGGTTCAATTGTAATGGCGAAGGTTAAAGTTGACAACAGACAGACAAACAGATAAACAGACAAACAGACAGACAGGACAAAAACAATATACGCCCCCGATCTATCGATCCGGGCGCATAGAAATAAATAGCTAAACAATTGTAGTATGTGTTCTAGTATTGCTACTCACGTATTACAATGAAGCGCATTGAAGTGGTAAAATTTTCCATTTGGACGAAACGTTCTGAGTCATGTTTTGAACGTCAATTATAACATAACGACACGCCCATTTCTTTAGAAACGAGAAAGGAATATCCGCTGTAATGTTTTAGGACACTACACTTCCCGCGACAAGCAACATTAGTTACATTGAAATTAAGAGTTTTAAATAAGAAAGAGCTATGTATAGAGTTCCCGCTTATGTAAAACACGCATTGCAACGAATTTGTCCATAATTATGATTTTATGTTTATTGGAGTTAGCATAGCACATGTATCAGTCGAACACGTGCTTACTCGGTGTTTATGTAAACTGTCAATTTCATTGGATCTTATATTTATGAAATACCTGTTCTACAGGTATTCGATTGAATCATTTGACCGAGTTTTCCTTTCTAAAGAAATGGGCGTGTCTAAAGATAGCTCAAAACGTTCCATCCAAACAGAAACTTTACCACTTCAATGCGCTTCATTGTAATAATTGCATCGATCGAACACTGCCACGAAACCAACGTTTGAGCTGAAAGGTTTTGGTAAGAAAGCATCTATATTGGTCCCCCTTATTCCGCATACTCCGATAGACCGTTCTAAATATACCAGGCCTTTCTGGAATTTCCATCCACATCCATCCCTAGCTTTGGAAGTCACAGGAAGCTGAAATACATGAGCATGTTGATTACCCTACTGTATCATGGTAAAATTGCAAGTTTTCATCAACTTTTCACATTTTGTGGAAGTTTTATAGATATGAACATGATGTGTTTGTGAAACACCGATGTCCCCTTATGACAGCCTATGGCGAGGGTTGAATTCTCTCAAATACATTACAAACTCCAAAGATCAAGGTCAAAAGTGTTGGCACCCAAAGGAAGGTCTTGTTATACAAGGAATGCACTTGTGAAATACGAAAGTCCTAGTTCTAACTGCTCAAAAGTTAGGACCAATTAAGGTTAAAGTTTTTTAAAAGTGGACCAAACTCTTAGTCAAGGTCAAAAATATTTATACCAGCTGAAAGGTCTTGTCACAATGAATGCACATGTGAAAGATGAAAGCCCTAGCTCCAACTCTTTAAAAGTTATGGCCAAGGTTGAAGTGGGGTATTTTTGGTAAAAGTAGGTCAAACTTCATAGGTCAAGGTCAAAGGTAAAGAACGAGGGCGCTTTTGATTGGCATTCGGCAGGAATCTGGGCGTACTCAGCCAACCAAATCATGGACATTTAAACCATAAATGTTTCGTAGAAATGATTCCTGCAGATCACACGCCAAATGCGCCCATCTTCTTTGATTGTACTCAGGTAAAGGTCTTGTCACAAGGAATACACCTGTGAAATATGAAAGCCATAGCCCCATCCACTCAATATAGTTATGGGCTAGGTTAAAGTTGACTGACAGATAGCTAGACAAACAGACAGACGGGACAAAAACAGTATACCCCCGGCATAACAATCCTCATGTCATATCTACAAGATTGTGACAGTTGATAACCGTTTAAATAGTAAACGTCTTACCACTGTCGTCAGTGTGAGTACCTCCACCATATCTGGCCACACAATATTAAACTTATACCCACAAAACCAATTACGGGGTAACAAATCAAAATGACAGTGTAAACAGCAATTAATCAAGTCTAATGTCTTTTTGGCTCGCATTTTCACATAAATTGGTTTCTGCAATTAAAACTTTCACTCATATATTGTTAGCTCAAATGAGCTGATCATGAAGGCTCAAGAGACTTTTCTGATCGTATGTCCGTTGTCTGTTGCCCTTTTTTTTATTTCCATCTTATTTTCCAGAGCCACTGAACCAATTTCAACCAAACTTGGCACAGAGAATCCTTAGGTAAAGGGAATTCAGGTTTGTTTCAATGAAGGGCCGCATTCCTTCATTGGAAATTAAAAATAGGGAAAATATGATGGGGTAATTTAAAAATCTTCTCAAGACCCGCTTGGCCAGAAAAAGAAAGATACATGTATGAGAGCTTTCTGGGAAGTGCAGATCGACTCAAGTTTGTTTAAATAATAACCCCCAGGGACCATTTTATGCTATCAAGTTTTACACAAGAACACATTGGGAAAATACTTGATATAATTCTTCTTCTCGAGAAGAGAAAAGTCATGGTTACACTGTAATTATATTATTTTGTTAGGAAGCACGCTCAAGTAGTGTAGAATCACTTTTGTTCAAATTATGACCTCCGTGGATAGGGTAAAGTTACTATGGACGATCAAAATTTTACATATGAAAAATATGTAATCAACAGCAAAGGCATAAATACTCATATTTGAATGGAAGCACGCCCAGGAAGTGTAGATTCAGATTTTTTCAGATTTTTTCAAATCATGACCCCCCAGATAGGGTGGGGCCGATTTCTTTCTTCATTTTTTAGAAAAACAAAGTTGTGATGTCATAAGTCATATTTGTATGGAAGCATCATCAGGTTTATGTAGATTCTAAGACTGGGGTAGGTTGGGTCCACAAAATAAATTTAATTCAACATAGAGAAATTTCTGCTGAAGAAGATCAGAAAGGCAACATAGTTACTTAACTGAGCATTGTGGTCCATAGGCCTCTTGAACATTTTTTTTCCATTTCTATCGCCACGTGTATTTTTTCTGCTTTTTGAAATTCGCCCGCGTGGCGCAGTCTGCTCTAGAGTCGCGAAGTAAGGAGTCGATCCTCACGTCGCGGGAACAGGCACTTGTTTCGGAAGTAAATTTTTATTCTATAGTAATAATAATAATTTCCATCGGCGGGCAGAGTTTTGACGCTGTTAATAGAGATAAATGAATACAAAGATATGCATGCCATATACATGTATGTGTAAAGTATTTGTTTATATTACGTAATTAAAGTGTCCGCAGAGCGGCAGCTCCCCGGTAGCTGCTGTGTATTGGCAGCTCCACCGGAGCTGCCCCTCACATGTATATATAGGGCGTGCACGCACGCGTACTGGGAGACAGGGGGTTAGATAGGAGAGATAGAGATAGTCAGTGATAGACAGAGTTTAAGTGGATTAACGATTTGTGAAATTATATTTTGGATTACTTGTACATAATGTGATTGTGATTATTTATTAAAACATGTAATAAACTTGTAAACTTATAACTGGAATTTTTATTACGCTACCAAAGGAGGAATTTAATTAATTCTAAGGAGGATCTTAAAATAGCAAAAAGGACCGCACGCTCGGTCCCGCTACAACTGGTGGCAGCGGTGGGATGTTATTCATGTTATTCCTGAGTTAAAAAACGGATTTAATTTCCATT